CTGAACACCATCACTAGACTTCTTTCTTTAACCAACTACCTTCTTTAATTGACAGCTGATGGGATATTTTCATTCCACATTAAAGTAATGTGATATTTTGAAATGCAGTTTTTCATATTTTTCTTCATTTAGAAAGACTCTAAAGTGAATTTCAAGCTGTCTGTACACAATTTGATAGGTAATTGAGTAGGTTAACTCTGTGTCAAAAGTTTGTGGTTTATCTTTACACTGATTCACCTCGATTTAAATGTGGTTGGAGCACAACATACATTTTTGAAGGAATAAAGGGATAGATTATGACTAGTAATACTGTCAAGTTTTGATTGTAGACGTGATCCAGGCCATTATGCATGTTCCTTTAACTTCGTTTCTTTTTCTTTCGTGGATGCTTCATCATACATGCTGTCTTATCAAATTGCATAGGTTTAAACATAATTGATATTTCTTGTCCGAAGTGGAATTTTGACTGTGTTACTGAATTTTATCACTGCTTCATTAATCACCAGGAGGGTGTGTCTGTCTCATATGATTATTTAAATAAAACTTTTAACCTCCCAAAATATATATATGGGAAAATAAAAAAAAAAAACTGTGCTAGAATTGAGTTATGCATCCATTTTGTCAGTGAGATATGGTACGCCGCCAAAGAAGATCACACTGCCCAAGTAAAAAGTATCACCATTTCACTGACAAAATCTGTGTAGCCTCGGCTCAGGGGTTTATCTGCTAATTCGGACTTGGTAGTTGACCCTGCACTTGTGTGTATGATGAGAAAGTGCTGGGTTCCCAAAGACCACATGTTTAGTATACACTGAAACCAAGTAAACATTAAATATTCATGGCCTTCTCCGTACTCACTGACCTCTGTTTCTTTCAATTCAACCTTGCTAGTTATCTTTTCTGCTTCCACCTGGCTGCTAATTGGATTTTTAAATGTTGTGAGTCTCTTAATTAAACTTTTTCATATTATAGGAAAACAGCACCCATAACTGTAGAAAACGTCACAAAATAAATGTAGTGAAGAATAGCTAAATGTCCCTGTGACCTCACTATCTGGAGATAACCGGTACCAATCTGTGTCCACCCTTTTGGTTCTTTCTCTTTCTTCAACTCCAGAGCGAGATCAGAGAGCACCTGCTGTCTTCATTCAACAGAGTGTTTCACAGGGTGCAGCGGCATCGATGCAGTGACCCTGTGCTTGACCATCTCAGGCAATGGGTTCTCTTCAGCTGGGAGTGGAGGCCAGGGCCTGAGCAGAGAGGAATCCAGGCCGGGGCTCTGGAAGCACTTCAGCATCAGGAGGTGTCTTTTGAGTTTCCTTACATATGTCTGGGAAAACCGCCAATGAAAAATCACACTAACCTTAGAAACTACGTTCTGAATAGAATTAAAGCATAGCCCCCCTCCCCAGTTGTATTCATTTTGGACTAGTAATGCAGTCAAGCAGATGATCACTTCTTATTTCCTCCCAGGTGACAAGAACTCAGTTTATTTTGCTATAAACAACCTTGTAAACTCTCTCTGTTAAAGAGCAACAGAAATCACACAGTAACAGAAATTCATTTGGAAATAGTCCTAGCCCAATAAAACCGATACATGAGAGAAAGTGACACACATTAGTAGTGTTCTAAATTGGGCTACTTTTCAAAATAACATTAGGCATCATTAATAAAACCTTTAAAGTAGTCACGTACTCACTTCTCGGGTAAGATTTCCAGTGAAACTAAAATTTCACAAAGATGTTTATACAAGAGGGTTCACACCATAACATTGTGTAGTACCAAAAAAAAAAAAAGGAAAAGAAAATCTCATAAAGATCCACTACTATGGAACTGAATGTAAATTGTGGTGTACTCGTAGTTTTGAATATCATGTATTCTCAAAATGTGTATATCATATAAGCAAAGTGGAGTAGCCTGATGGTAGCAGTGTTTCAGTTATAGTGTAAAGCAGAGAAGTGAGGCCTGGGCAGGGCGCCCCTTCTGCTTGTGTGGAACATAAAGGCATTTGTTTACGTTTAACTGTGTAGAGTGGATAGGCATGGAAGAGCTGGCAGTGGATGCTTAAAGAGTGAGAGATGAAAGGCAGGAAGAGGTGTATTTCATGCAATAGCTTTTTAATTTTTAAAATAGATGTATCTTCATTTCTTTCATATTTAAGGTATTTAATGAAAATCAAAAGGGCTAAACAGAGAAAAGATCTGTGATAGGTAATTCAAATTAATGATGACAATGGCTGAAGGATAGAACTGCTATGCAGAGAACATGTGCTTTCTGCTTTCTTTGTTGTTTATTGTCTGAATTATTTACAATGAACTACACTGTTTTTAGCATCAGAGGAAAGTGTTGCATTTTACCATACAACAGTATGAATGCTGATTAATAGTGCAGCCCCTTCTCTCATTATATTATTTGGTTCAAATGCTGTGAATAAAAACAGTTGTCTTGGGCCTGGGATTTAGCTCAGCGGTTCGGTGGCCTGCCTAGCAAGTGCAAGGATCCGAGTTCAATCCCTGTTCAATACCAAAAAAAAAAACAAAAAACAAAAACAACAGTTGTCTTGATTGTTATTCTAACAGTAAAAGTTCTTGAATCATCCCAGATGTTCAGTAAAAGGGAGATGTCATTGTTTCTGTTATCTGAAACCCAAAGGTGAAAAGTTTTATTTTCTGAGCACTTTCTACATAATACAGATTAAAATCATTGTCAAAAATGATTTTTTCTTTCTCATTGGTGGGATTGAGCTAAAAGACACAGGTCATATCATTAGAATGATACACACTTCTGTATCTGAAATTTTCATTGCATTAAGTTGTGGTGCTACAGCATTTTAATGTCCAGCCCTTTCCTTCACGTGAGCTGGCTATAATACAGTTTCTGTAAACATCATGCTCACCTGGCTCTGCTGCTTCAGCAGACAATCTAAAGTGACTTGGTAGAGAAGTTTTTTATTCACTTTGGTGGATGGCTTCACTTGAGTTTTCCAGCAATTTCCTTATAGGAGCCTTAGCACAGTGAGGTCTTCCTACCAAATTATTACTGAGGTGTGCTACTGCAAGCTTCTCCCGGTTCTATTTCTGTTGCAGGTGTTTTGTCATTTTCACACAATCATGTGTCATCTTTATATAAGAGAGCACGAACGTGAGTCTGGTGGAGGGTGTGTGTGATATCTCTTCTGCAGAAGTATGTCCAACCTGCAAGACTGGATGTTGTTCTAGCACTCACCATCCTTTGTGCCAGTACTGATTCATATACTGGAACGATTCACAACTTTCCCGAGTAAAATTGTCAGTAAATTTAATGAGATCCTTTTGCAATACTCAAACCCCAGAGAGGTATTTACTGGATAATTTAGTTAAATAATACACATATGACCAAGGAATCAATACAGCAACATAGCATATTATTGTAACTTATTCTATCTGAGCATCTTCCCAGACAGCAGAAGCCTGACTCTGGTTTTTAAGACACAGAAAGGACTGCTTCATGGAAAGCCAGAATCATTTCCATTTTAGCAAAAGGGAGATCAGCTATGCAAAGGATAGGAGGATTAATTACAGAGACCATGCTTCATGAAGGATAAGAAGAGTTAGCAATGTGCAATATTGAATAACTAATCACTAGGCAGAGAACAAAAGAACATGAAGAAGGTAGGGAACTTGAATGGGTAAAGGAGGAGGTGAGGGAGAATAGGAGGAAGAGAAACCATCCCAATGGGCAGGTTCCCATTGCAGAAGCCATGCTGCCTGTGCATGAATCCCACATTAGCCACTTCCTATTCACTACCTTGGGTAAATTGTGCAACTGTAATAAATTTCAATTCTCCATAAATAAAAGCAGGCTTATTAACAATATCAACAACTTTTCCTCATAGGGATATTATGAGGATTAAATGTGATAATACCCATAAATACTTAATAAATAAATGTGTTGCTGTAGAGCTACATAGGGCTTTGGATAGAGTTTCCCAAGGGTGTAATTTGAAGTCCTGTGCCTCGGATGATTATAAACTGCACACACCCCACCCCTTGTTTGAGAATTACTGGCAAAACTGCATAGAGAGCAATTCCACCAACGAGAAAGAAAAAATCAAAAAAGGTCAGCCAATTGCAAAGAGAAATATATTTGGTTCTGATCTCTGGGCTATAACAGCATCAAACCCTCTCTTTGTAGTCAAAGCTCCTGTAGGGATTGGGAAGCACCAAATCATCACAAAAATGAGGACAGGGGGATACAGAGGTTGAATATTAGAGGCAAGGGTTGTTCAGTGCCTTCAGGCTCTCCAAAAGTTAGCCATTTCTGAGCTTAGTTGTTTCCTTTTAGCACACTACATTCCTATTGGAGAGGCTAGAGAACTCAACCAAGTTCCACTTTGTAGGTGTTTCCCAGGTCTACTTAGTGTAAAAGCAAAGTATTCTAAGTGGATTTCCATTAAGGCATCAGGAACTCCTGAAGAAAGGGCACTTTGCTTTCCTCTTTATAGTCTGTTCCCTATAAAGAGGCAAATTAGAGGGTTATCAGCCATCACCTGACACCTGTTGGAAATAAAAAAGACACAAGATTGCTGATTTCCACTGAGTTAATTGCTCTGTTGTCTTGCCTTACTGGGAACTCTCTTACATTAGGGAAACGCTGCACATACAGCCATGAAAGCTGAATCACAACTCCATGTCTGTTAAAAGAATCAAAGAGATCATTCGTGCTAATGTTTATTAGTGAGGGGTGTCCAGTGGAACCGATTTATGTTCTGCTCCTTGAGAACCTTGTAGCTGTAGATAAAGTGATTCAAATACAGAAATATTAGAGTATATCCTGAATAAACATACACGTTTATAAGTGTTGTCTTTACACAAATATATTCCTGTAAAAGATGAAAATGAACGCATTTCCTTTATAATACTTGCTCCATATTTAAATGATTTTTAAAATTTGAATTCAATTACACAACTAGTTGTCCACTTTTGTTATTGATAATTTTGCAGGAATCTGGTTTTTGTGCTGTATTTGTTTTCTGCAACCTCCAAATACAGAAGTGTACCCAGCCAAGTGCAGTGCACATTTATAATGCCGTTCATCGGAGTGATTGGCTATTTTAAATCTGCTGGCAGTAAACAGTTGGGACTGCACTCAACAGTAAAAGATGTCTCCACAGCTCTTACATGTTGCTATCTGAATCAAGTCGTTCTACTGCTATCTTAAAGTATGGCGTTTTAAACGAGTCCAAATGAAACAGGAAGAGGCTTTACAATGTTGTTCTGTAATTTGCACATGACATAGTCTTTAGGCCTGGGAAATGATGAAACAGGTGATTAGGAATTTACAAGATGCGTTCTTCTTCCTGAGGTTTGCTATGCTTGATGAGGGACTAGTTAGGCACCTTGTATTTTCCTTGGAGTTGATTTTTATATTGCGGCCGAGCAGCTTTCCACTTAGAAAAGTCAGCATTCCTGACCTAAGAACTAAAAGCGAAGGAACAGTGAAGCAAACACCACAACAGGCCCCGGCCCTGACTTTAGTCTTCTCACAGCGCCAGACTGTTTTTGTGAAGCGGGTGTAAGTGGGTGCGTGAGGGCTGCTGATGGCGCCGAGTCCAGCTCCCGACGTCTCCTCACTTCCCCACCGCCCCCCCGGCCCAGCGCTGTCAGGCTTCTCTGCCAAGCGGAGGACAGCAGTATTCTAGGAGAAAAAAAAAAAATTAATTGTGAAAAATATGCACCGTAAAAGCAAGGAATTCAATAGGATGCTTTTCCAGAAAGCGAGGAGCAGTCACAGGTCCCTTGGGGCCCTGACCTCCGGGTGAAGCCAGGGCCCCCAGGGTGCCATGGACTGCGCAGGCGCCCTAGCCAGACACCCAGCTTCCGGGAGACGCTTGCGCAGAATTAGACGCATGCGCAGTACATGCTGCCGCTATCATTTCATCTTGCCCCTTGGTGTTCTCCAGCTCGCCTTTCTTTCTAGCCAGCCATCTTGTAATTATTGCAGGTCATGTTACCACGTAGTTTTCTGATTCCGTCGTGTTTTCAGCAGCTTGCTTCAGAAAATGCCAGATGGGAACTCCTTCAGTTTATGGCACAGCATCTACAAGCACGCAGGTAACCAGGCCCACCCTTGCTGTTACTTTCTCTCCTCCACTTCAAACTGGCTGCTTCCACAAGTGTTTTGAGATCAAAACATCAAACTCTCCTCACACTATCTAGCATTCTGCCTACTCCTTCTCTTTAAAAACATTTTTTTATTGTACCATTCATTACACTTTTGTAATTCATGAAGTTTGCATTTATCAGAAAGAATAGCTACATACACATAACACATCTTGATTCTTTTTATCTCCTTTATCCCTGGTCTTTCTTGGTAGCTGCTGCTTGTCAGTTTTCTGACATTCAGAGTACATGTCCTACCCTGTCACCCATAAACTTTTATTTCAATTTGGGTAACATTTATTGAACACTTGTTATGTGCCAAGGACTTCACTAAAACTTACAGCATGTGCAGTGACATTTGATCTTTACCAGTCGCCACTTTTCAAACAAACCAAGAGAGATTTGTAACAAAATAGCTACATTAGGAGTGGCGGGGTGGGATTTCAAGTCCAACCAGTCTAAATTTCTAATTTACAGTGGCAGGCCACATATAGTGTACTGAGGTGCTTTGTCTAACTTTGGAAAGAATTGGCAGTCGTGTTCTGGTACACTGTCCTTTTTATTCCTTGCCCAGCGGGCATAGATGCCCACCACGCCCATGAATGTACCTCCAGCAGATCACCAAGGGACATCATGTTTCCTATAACAAACCAGCCTTCTTTGGGCGCTCACTAGCCCAGGTTCTCCTTGATCAGTATGTGACACTCTCATTTATTCTGGTCTCGAATGGGAGGTGACAAACTCTCAGATGGCTTCCTGGTACACAATATTGAGTTTGGTGGCCCTTTGTTGTGTTTCCTTGGTGCTGACATTCAGTGGCAACTACCTGTGGACTTATTTGTGTCTTTTGTTAGACTTTGTGAGGAGACGGATTTATCTATAACGTGTTTGGGGAAACATGCTGTGCAATTATTAATAAAATGTCAGCTAATTAATTTATAAGGACAGTACAAGCTAATATTAAATGGGAACTATTCTATTATCTCTTGTTCAATGAGAACCTTTATTTGTGATTTGCCAATTGTAGTTTCATAGTTGTTGTTTTTTGGTTTTTTTTTTTTTCTAAATCATGGTGCACTGACAGAGAAAGTTTGACTAGAGATGGAGAGTGAGGAGAGAGAGGGGAAAAGAAGGGGATAAAAAATGAAATAAAACAATGCAACTAGAGTTTTGGCAAATGGGAAGGAGATCAAGAGTTAGAAGAAGTGGGGTAAAATGAATTAAGATGTCTTCTGTACATGAACCTGCTCCCCATGATAAGTGTAATCTTTATATACTTAAAACAGGTCCTAATAGGAGTTACTAATTAAAATTGTACTTCCATTTTTAAAGAAATGTTATCAAATAAATGCCTTCTTTTGTGTGCCTTACCCTCCACTGAAGCCTGGAAAATACAGACTATACTGCTTATATTCTTCCTTCATTCTTCTTTTCTTTCTTTCCTTCCTCGCTGTCTCTTGTTCTGTTTTATAATGTATTGAAATCTTTAGGTAAATTTCTTTTTATGTGGAGAGCTGCTCCCCACCCCACCCACAGTAATTCTGAGTACCTGGAGGAGGCACCCATCTGGCCTTGAAATGTTCCCCTTGATTCTCATATGCAGCAAAGTTTGAGAACCATTAATTTAGACTCCCTAATGTACCTTGCAGTTCTACAATTTCCATGTTCTGTTATTTTAAGGGAATCTCCAGAGTGTTTTAAAACAGAAAATATGGAACAGATTCTTATTTAAGATGTTAGAGCCCCAAATATTTTTGTCTTTATTTTTCCAGAATCCTTGACTGAAGCCTCCTTATTGTCAGATATGAAATTCAGAGAGCTGACACTCAACAGTGGTTACTGATTTTCCTTTAATATTTTAGGTTAGTATCCTCTTAGCATTTGAGAAGTTTTGTAAAGAGGGAAATGTCTTTAAAAATAGTAGGAGGCACCACTCAGCTAACAGCTGAGTGACGTCTTGCTCGGAATTAGCATTAGTGGCTTTGAGTGCGTCTGAGTCTAATGATTTCTTTGTCTGTCTGTAGATTTGATTTGAGTCTTTCATAGATGGATATGCTTATTCTGGAACTGAGGTGCAGAATTGCAAGGTTTTTCATTGCAAGGATGTTCAGTGATTGACTGGTAAATGGGCAGATCCTGCTGAGGTGGATATACTTATTCCTATAGGTAGTTTTATCTGACTTCTCTCTCTACTATTGCTAATTGCAGAACAGCATGCTGCATCATAGGATTTATTTTTAAAGCATATATAAAGCTAAGAATCAGATCACACCTTTCAAACTAATTTTCTTAATTATACATTGGCCCCAGCCATAAATTGTAGTCTGCAAGAGAATTTAAAATCAAAATCTATGCATTAAACTCATTAAAATGTACACAAAATGTCAATATACCACACTCTTGTTCCCTCGAGAGGCAACAGTATAAACTGAGAGCCTATTGTTAATTCAAAAGATGGCATTTATTTTGCTCCACAAAATTTCCTAGATGGTAAGTCAGAAAGGTGCTAACATTTTCTGTGAGTTTTGCCAGCTTGAGTATGCAAATTTCCATGAACTTTATCTCATTTTAACTGGAGTTACTGCTCACTTGTATAGCATGGCTGCCTCATTGTGCCAAGTATACTATTTATGGTTGTTTCAAAACTTGGACCTGTGAAGGTAAAGTTTTAATTTTCTTTCGGTTCTTTGATGAAATGGTATTATATCTACCAACTTCAATGGCAGACCTATAAAATACCAGTGGGGCTGCTAGACACAGGCCTGAGTTGTCACAGTTGTAGCACATGAATGTAAATGATCTGTGCGTTTCACTTCACTAAATATAAATATGTGCTATAATATCTTTCACATTTAGTTTGCAGAGACATTGTGGGAATTAAATAATCTTGTGCTTGTGCAGTAAAGTACTTGAGTGATATGCTACTTTTTTGTTTTTAATTTTACATCTGCATACACTTTTATTTGTAGAAACAGAGATCAGAAGAGATAATACACGTTCAGATGGCTGCCAGGGCTTCCAAAGGAACAGAGAGAATGAGGATGCATATACTCTTCTAAATGAATTCTCAATATATTCATATGACTCTGTAGACACATGACTGCATTAACAGTCCCATGTAAACATGTTAATGTGTAAGAAAGACACCAACTTACAAACATGTCATGATGTGAGTATGAGTGTTATTTTCAGTAGCTGTTTAATACTGACACAGAATAAGCTTAGCTGGGATGGTCTTGATTATGAACATAAAGAATCAGATGTGGGGCTTTCAGCTGCACATCAGTTTCTATGAACGTGACAGTTTCTCCTGTGTGCCCGATACACTGGTCTCCTCTCTGTTCCTTGACTTCGCCCTCTCCTTGAAAGGCACCAGGACTGTCTGCTCTCTCTTCCCTCACCACTCCTCCTGCCTTCAACATCACTGGCTCATGCTCAGCCTTCAGTTTCCAGCTCCTTCTGAGGCCCTCCTTGACTCTCTGTCTTAAGCAGCCTGTTCTTTTTACTGTCTTATCTCGCCAGCCTGCTTTCTCCCCCATTTTTTTTTTATTTCAGTGAGCCACACCTTACTTATTGATTTATGTGCTTTGCACAATTCGTTCCCTCCAGTGATATAAACCCTAAGAGAGCAGAAACCTGTGTTCACCTCAGCTGTCCTATTGGTGTCCAGGGTTGGTCCTGGCACCTAAACATGTGATGAATATGTTGGTGACTCTGATAGGTGATCTAGATGCAGACACTAACATATCAATCAGACAGCAGAACACAGAAACCATCTGAGAGCTTACATGGCAATGAAATAAATTAGCTGTCCTGTCCATCTCATTCCCACTGCGGTGCCATCGTAGTTGGGATGAGAACCTACATCTTTGTGTATACTGAAATTGTAGGAAAAGTATAACTACAATAAGAAAGTGAAGAGGTGTAGGTTATTCTGTTTGATGGCTTTGCCTTGTCCTCTGCAGTGACTCCAGATATTTCATAATTGTCTACACACTTTGCTCTCTAGAATTAAAGCTCAAAGGACAGCAACTGGATAATGCAATGAAATAAGATCATCTCTAAATCTCTTCCACTGGCAGCAAGTAACAGGTCTGTAAGAAGAAGGAAACTGGCCCTGAATACTTTCACATCCTTCCAGCCTGCTCAGGACCCTGGAGAGTAGGCAGGAAGAGCAGAAGAGTGTGTTAAATTTAGTCTGCAGTGATTTCTTGCCCCTGGGAAAAATAATTGCTTCATTCTATTGCCAAAAGGCACACCAGCATCAGCTTAATTTTCCTGAGCCTGCCATAAACTGCAGATGGAACTGTAAAACACAGAATAAAATGAAACACCCCTGTCCCAAAGCGGGTGAGCCCCGCCTGCCAAGAAACGCCAAGGTGTAGGGCCACACAGAAATTACAGTAGGCGGAAGTGTATTTGAAGACAGCGGCAGTGTCAGTATTTGAAGACTGCTGCCAGTAGGAAAAAGAACCTTGTGTTGTCTTCCCTGGCTTTACTGAGCCTGCCTTCTTGTAGTGACCACCATTGGGAGTTGTGGGTCTCTCCCAACATATTCACTAGGAAACAAACAAATAGATGCACATCGCTGACTTGAAGACTAGGAGTTTATTGCATTCTTTCCTGCTCCAATGTTGCCTTAGATTAATTCAAATCACAGGCAGTCAGAAGTCCCTATGCTGCATTTTAATTGGACCTGAAATTTTAGAAAGGGAGACTTTAACTTCTCTTAAGGTACCAACCCCTATGTGTGTCCCAATAGGATACTAACTGCACGGAGAAAATAACTGCCTAAGACGGTGGTTTTGAAGGAAGTATCCATAAAATGTGTATGAATCAGGATGATTTTGATGGCAAGGTGGTGAGGGCACCTGTGGAGTTGTGCTCCTCCAAATGCTCTTCAGGAAGAAAATGGTTTCCAGCTATGAGTAATTCAGATAGCTGAAGCCATC